GCGGCTCATTCCCGGGGGCAGAGCTTGGGGATGGGACCCTCACCTGTCCCGGGGCAGCTCCCAGCGCGGATCCTCAGGGAGCTCATACTCGGAGACGCCGGCCAGCATGGGGGTGCCGCTGGAGGAGAGCCGCGAGGGCCGGACCAGCATCACGCCCGAGTTCATGGAGGAGCTGGAGTCGGCCGACACCTGCACCAGGGAGCGTGGGTTACCTTCACGCAGCGCTGGGTGCCATGGCTGGCTCACCCCCCTGGGAGGGAGATGCTGAGCGGGACCCCACTGCAACCCCCTGCCCGCAGTCCCCCCAGCCCACAACGCAGGGCACTCTCAGCGCTGCTCCTGTGTTGGACCCCGACTAAATGATCTTTAATTAGTCTGGCATGCTGACACCATGAAATACACGGCCTGGGAGTCCGCCTCTCTCCTCGCTGTGTAAAACAAACTCTCCTGCTCGAACATTAAAGGGCTGTAAATCCTTCTGGTCCTCCTCCTCACCCCCACTGAGCCCCGCTGACAAGGAGGGGCTGTGCAGCCCCACCATCACTGCGCTGCTGGTCCAGGGCAGAGCCCGCTGATGGTCCCCACCCCGTGGCACAAGGTTGGAGAAGGTGGCACAGGCAGTGGGGCGAGATGGTCCTGGGTCTGCCCCATCCATCCTCATCCAGAAACCTCCCTCCCCTACAGGGCAGGTCCCCCAGGGCGGGGCAGTAGGTGCAAACAAACCCCCTCTCTACTTTCTGTTACCTGTCTGCGCAGGGGGATGCTCTTGGCCAGCTTGTGCACGGCCAGCTGGCTGTTGAAGTCTGTCTTCTTGGTGGTGCTCTTCATCTTGTAGATGATGACGGTCACCACCATGCAGGAGATGAGGAAGGCCCCCGTGCAGTAAATGATGATCTCCAGGTAGAGGGGGGATGTCATCATGGCTGGGGTGTCTTCAATAGCTGATGAACAGGGTGTCAGCACCCACGAGCCCACCTGGGGCCGAGGAGCGGAGCCGTGCTGGGTGGGGAGCCTCCCCCCTGCAGCCCCTCCCCATGCTTGGTGGGGACACGGGCTGCATCGCTGGAGGCCTTGGGGCAGCGTGAGACAGGGACATGGGGGGCTGCCCAACCGCCCCGGCGGGGGAGGTGTATGT